CCCCCCGGGAAGCAGAGGCCATCAGAAACTGCCCATGGGCAGGTACTTTTTTAGAGTAACCCCAGACATGCTCACACATGCTTTCAAAAAACCCAGATCTCCTAACTTCTCTTTATAAAAGTTAAAAGACTGGACAACCTGAGTCATCACAGCCACAACCAGCAGGAGCTAAGCACGACTCTCTCCCTTGTTTATCTGACGTATTCATTCACTCATTTAAAAGAAATGATTTTTTAAGCCAGGTGCAGTGGCACATGCCTGAACCCCAGCACTTGGGGAGGGGGAGGCAGAGGCAGATGGGTCTCCGAGTTTGAGGCCAACCTTGTCTAGAGTGATTCCAGGACAGCCAAGGCTACACAGAGAAACCCTGTCTCAGAAAACAAAACAAAAAGATTTATTATTTTATGAGCATTGTTGTCAGATTCCCTGGAACTGGAGTTACTGAGAGTTGTGAGCTGCCAAGTGGGTGCTGGGAATTGAACCTGAGTCCTCTGGAAGAACAGCCAGCTCTCTTAACCACTCAGCTATCTCTCCAGCCCTCATTCATTTTTAAGACAGTTTCTCACTATGTGCCCCACACTGAATTTGAACTCAAGATCCTCCCTTTGCCTGCTATAAAAACAGTGGCTATGAATAGCAAAATTCCTACATTTTCATGTTTTGGATGTTTGTTTTAGAAACACTTTTGAAATGACCGAGTCCCTAGACTTAAGGAAGTGAAAATCTGCAAACAGGTCTTCAACTAGGTATACTGTGATGGAGCTATTCCATACCTGAAGAGAGGCACTATTTCCTTAATGTCCTTTAGCTTTTTAACTTCCTCATCTCGAACAGGTGCACACAACGTCCCCATCATGCCAATAATGAATTCTGCCAGCTTGGAAATGTCTAGGGCCCCATTCTCTGCTTCCTGTTTTATCAGCTCCAGATCCAGCACTTCTGTTATTTGGTTTCTTAGTCTAGTGTGACCAGGCAGCAAGAATGATAACAGAGTCTACAAGAGAGCACAGCTAAATTCAATCAGGATTTCTCCATCAGGCATCATTTTTATTATACATAAAGAATGTATTACTATTCAAAAGTAAAGGATCACCAACAGCTATTATAATGTAGCACATATTTTTAGCCTCTTATTTAACAAATCTACAGACAAACATGTACACAAATCATTTAAAAATAGCTATTTAGGCTCCATTCATATTTGATCAATCACCTGGATGCAAAACAAAACAAAACAAAAACCTGGGAGTTTGTTGGTTGGTTTATGTTTGTCCTTTGAGGCAGGGTCTTTGCTGCATATGGCTGCAAGCTAGGTATCCTTCTGCCTCAGCTTCCCAAGTGCTAGGATCATAGGTTTGTATTACCATGTTTGGCTAAAACTTATTAGTAATAAGCAAAGGAAAGACAGTTGCTACGGAAGCCTGTGAGGCAACCACTGAGTCCAATTTTCCCAGGTAATAATTCTTCAGTATGAAGGCTAAAGCCACTGCAGAGACAGTCCTTCCATCTCCCCTGCCTTCTCTATCCCAAGGTGCAGTCACTTTCTGACCAACATAAATACGTCCATACCTAGTAAAAGTTTATAAATACTCCATATGTCATAATCCAAGTTTGTAGTCTCTAAATAATATGAATGTTTTCTTTGTTATACAAAAGTAGTACCTTCAAGTTATCATGGCTTGGTTGAAAAAAAATTTTTTAAAGGGCAGTGGTGCCAAGTCAAAAACCCAAATTCCTTCAAATAATTTAACTTTGTGGCCCTCGATCTCTTTAGTCTTCTGGTATAGCAACACAGACGCTGAATGAATACTCCCTAAGCCCCACTCACTCTTCCTCTCACCTCCTTGATCTCTCCGACAAGTTTGATGGCATGGTCATATGTTGGGGGATCTTCACTTAGCTGGACACTCAAACAATCCCAGAAGGCTTTATGCACAATCTCCTTTACTCTCTTCTCCAAGCTGAAGACAATAGGAAAAATAAAAAGACAAATATATATATAATATACATTATATATGTGCGAGTTTAAAATCACTTTTAAAACCATAATTCTATGGCTACAGGACAACAAATCTTCAAAACCATTGGAACCAAGGAAATATGCACCTGGTGAGTAGAGGGGGAGCTGTTTCTAACATGGACTCTGTTACCTGCTTTTGGATCACTTCCCCCTGGCTGCACTGCCTTGCCTGGCCTCAAGGGATGAAGCTATGCTCAGACCTGATGTGATTTGATGTGCTGGGGAAGGTTAATATGGGGAAGGGGGCTGCCCTTTTTTAGGGAGAAAGGGAGAGAAGAAGGGGGAGGGAAGGGAAATGTGGGGACTGAGAAGAGGGAGAGGAGCGGGCACCCTTGGGATATAAAGTAAATAAACTGACATATATAGATATATATAAAGAAAAGACAAAAAGTTAAAGAAATAAGATTAAAAAAAAAAGAGTGGCTTTCAAACTGGGTGTGGTGGCACATGCTGATAATCCCAGCACTCAGGGAGGCAGAGGCAGGTGGATCTCTGTGAGTTCGAGGCCAACCTGGTCTACAAAGTGAGTCTAGGACAGCCAAGGCTACACAGAGAAACCCTGTCCTGAAAAACCAAAATAACAAAACAAAACAAAGAACCAAAGAAGAGTAGCTTTCCCCTCACTTAGTAGCCAACATAAAGCCAAGTGACTAGCTGAGCTAGTCGTTCCATGAGGAACGGAGACTAGGAGTCTGGAGGGATGGCTAAGAGCATCTTCTGTTCTTGCAGAAGACATGGATTTCTTTCTCAGCGCCCACAACTCCACAACTCCAGTCCAGGAAATCCAACACTCTTCTGACCGCTGTGGGCACCAGGCATGTGCATGCGCCATATAAATACACGCAAGAAAAACACCCAAGCACATAAAATTTTCAATGGTGAAATTTCTCAAGACTGGAAAATTGAGAGTTGCCAATTTTAGTTTCTCTGACCTCAGCAAGTTCCTATGACACACATGTGAACACAGGTGTCTACAGAGGCCGGAGTCGATGGATCACCTGGAAGCGGAGCTCCAGGCAGCTGTTCCCTGCCCGGCATAGGCGCATGACACTGAACTCAAGTCCTCTTGCAAGAGCAGTAAGCACTCTTAACTACTGAGCCATCTCTCCAGCCTTAATCTTTCATTGTTATTATCTTGGTTTGTCTTTTTGTTAGTTTTTGACAGGGATGCCTGTAGCCTGGTTTCTAAATTACTACACAGTTGAGGATGACCTTGAACTGATCCTCCTGCCTCCACTTCCTGAGTGTTGGTCATGTACCACCTCACCTGGCTTCCTTGTCTTCACATAGTTTAAAATCTGGCAAAGGATGCAAGTTAGAAGACATCTACAGTACAATGACACAGCTACAAGGAAAAGAATAAAACAATGCACTAAAAACATTGGGAAAAGAAGGAAAAAAATGGCTAGGTCCTGACAGGGAAAAGATGGCATCGAAGGTCCTCACAGACTCCAGATGCTTCAGGATTCAAAGAAAGCATGTGTGGCTTTCAGACCCACATTCACAAGTCATGCCTACCTAGGAAGACTTTTCTCACTGATGGACAAAAGAAAGAATGTACTTGAACACGCTGGCATCCAATAACCCAGTCCCGGAACTGGGAAATGCTCCAGTAAACAAGTCCACGCACGCACCTGCCTTCTGCTAACTCAACAGCGTTGATCCGGAAGTCTCCATTTACTACAATTTCGTGGGCCAGAGCCATGTTGGTGACTCCTTTTGCTGTTTCTAGAAGTTCCTCTACAGTGACAAGCCGAGAAGGACTAGCTGTAACAAAAAGCAGTGTGAAATCTGTTAAGCTAAGGCCCAAGATGGCAGCTGCAGTAATAACTGTATCCCAACACTGCAAACAGGGTTAGCTTTTTATTTTTCTTTTACCTAGAATGCTAAAAGTAATGAGCATTTACACAAAACATGGCTGCCACTAAGACTGCTCAGTGGAAAACTGCTCAGTACAGCAAACTGGGGCTGAAAATTTAAATTACAGGTTTTCATTACTCCAATAAGCTTAAGGTTTACGATCTGCCTCTGTGAAATCCTGTCTTCCCAAAAGGAAAGTAGCAGATTTAAGACCTTCTCTGGGTATCAGTAAGATGACTCAGTGGGTAAAGGGGCCTGCCTGAGACTCATCCCTGGAACCCTCAGGGTAGAAGGTCAGAATTGACTCCTCTGACCTTCACATGTGTACTATGGTATGTGTGAGCCCATAAACACACATAAAAACAAGAATATTTTTTAAGATCTTTTCTGCTCACATAAACAACTTACTTTTGCACTAACACTGATATTTCCCAAAATTGAAATAGCATTAATTCTTAAGTAAGGTTGAAGCCACTGTCCTAGGAGTCATGAGATGGCTCAGCATGTAAAGGTACTTGCTACCAAGGCTGACAACCTGAGTTCAATCCCTGGGACCCACATGGTAAGAGAACCAAATCCACTTGTTCAATAACCTTCCCAGAGACTACATAGACACATCACACTCACATACACATTAAATGTTAAAATTTTTTAAAATAAAAAGTTACCTTAATCCCAATACTCAGGAGGCAGAGGCAGGTGTGGATCTCTTTGCTTTCAAGGCCAGCCTGGTCTACAGAGCTCATTGCAGGACAGACAAAGCTACACAAACAAGAAGTAGTAGGAGAGGCCCCACAATTCCAGAAGTTGGGAGGTAGAGGCAGGAGGATCAGGAGTTAAAAAAAGTTCAAAGCCAGCCTGGGTTATAGATATGACACTGTCTCAAAATCTAAACCTGGTATAAGACAGACAGACTGAGATCTCTGTAGCTTGCCAATGAAGAGACCGGAGGTGGGAGATACTAGAATTCCGTAGTATACAGACCTGCTAAATCAAAAACTAAAAAAGTCACCAAGACCCCCCCCATGGTGATACCCTCTACCCTTAAAACCTGATAAGCAATGTTACTGCTTTGCCCAGGGTTTAACATATGAGAAGTTCCTAGGCTAAAGAAAAATAAGTTTCCTTCCAACTTTATTCTTTCTCTTTGTTCCCCTCTTCCTCCTAAAAAGGGAACCAAATCTAAGAGTTGTCTATATCCTGTTTGGTTCCAAAAAAAAAAAAAAAAAAAACACAAAACACAAAACCACTTCACTAAATCATATATGGAGAAGTTGTAGAAGTATTCAAAATTCTTCTTCATAAAGTTCTTAACATTTCCAGAAAATATTACTACAAAATAAAATTAATGTCATGCATATATAAAATATAATAGATGTCCCAAAAAATACTTTTATTAAATAAATGTCCCTAGATAATAATACTTTTTCAATTCTTGATAGTATATGGAGATGTCAGTTTTCTCTAAGTCAATATGTTAAACATATTCTACCAAAATCCCAGAAGACTTTTTTGAAATTTCCTAATTGACTCTAAAGTTTATATGGAAGTGCAAAAGACCCAGAGAGCCAAGACTATTCTAGAGAGAAGCCTGGAAAATTTGTGCTGATTTCAAGACTTTCTGTCAAGCTATAATCATTAAGACTATAAAGTTTCACATACACAGACATATAGATTGACAGAGAGAATACAGAAATAAACAGTGTATATAAATTTATTTATATATTTAAACTCTGTCTTAGAAAACCAAAAGACACTCAGCTGGGTGTAATGGTGTACACCTCTTTTTTTTTTTTTTTTTAGGCGGGAGGTGGGACAGGGTTTCTCTGTGTAGCCCTGGTTGTCATGGAACTCACTCTGTAGATCAGGCTGGCCACACTCACAGAGATCTGCCTCCCTCTGCCTCCTGAGTGCTGGGATTAAAGGCTAGTGCCGCTACCACCCTGTGGATGGTGCACTTTTAATCTCAGGACTCAGGAGGCAAAAATAGGCAAATCTAGACTCAAGGCTAGCCTGTTGTACAGAGAGAGAGAGAGACCCTCTCTCAAAACAAATAACAAAAATCCCCGAGAACAATGACATAAAAAAGACCCTCCATTCTTTTCTCCAAGATAAATAAAAACCAATTCAAACTGAGTTATAAACTCGATAAAACAGCTAAGATAATAAAAGTTTTATAAGATGAAAGAAAATCTTTGTGATCTTAGATTAAGGAGCATATTTTAGGATACAGTGGTGGGGACGGTTTAGCGCACTCTGTATTCAAAGGCTGATTTCTGTGCCCAGAGATCTGGTTGCAGTCCAGATGTGTACATTGTCATTGCTATTGAAGAAACTTCTGTCTCAGTGTTGTGTAAAAATTGTTCTCATCATCTCTGAATGGTTTATAAAGAGCTGAAAAGCCAGTAACTGAGCAGAAGAAGAGAGTTGAGGTAGGACTTCTGCTCCCAGTTAGGGAGTCTCAGGTGGAGGGTGAGAGAAAAGGAGAAGGCTGCCATGAGGAGAAGGTCACCAAGAGCCATGAAGACAAACATGGAGCAGGAACAGCCAAGGCATGACTAAGCTGGCAGGTAATATGGCACATGGCTGGGAAGTAGGCTAGGCCAGCATAGTCGGGGTAGGCTGGGTGAATATCTGCCCAGGCACACTGCTTTAAACCTTATGAATAAATATAACAGACCTCCATGGCATTATTTGAGAGCTAGAATGAGTGTAGGAAAAGCCTCTATAGTAATTTTACCATACAAAAAGCTCTAAGAAGAAAAACTAATAAATTAGACTTGTATTTAAAATTTGTATTCCAAGTCAGGTGCAGTGGCGCATGCTTGTCATCCCAGCACTCAGGGGGGCAGAGGCAGCAGATCAATGTGAGTTCAAGACCAGCCTGGTGTACAAAGCAAGTCCAAGACAGCCAGGGCTACCCAGAGAAACCTGTTTCGAAAAACCAAAAACAAAACATGTACTCTGTGAAAGACCTACTAAGAACATGGAAGTATGTCTCCAGAGAAAACACAGGTAAAGCACCTGAGAGACAGAAAACCAGCTCTACGAGAGCCCAGAATTCAACAATAGACAAGTATCCAATAAAAGTGAGCAAAAGAGTCAAACACACAGTTCTTCAAAGAAGATACACAAATGCCTAGTAAATACATGGAAAGATGCTGTCACTAGGGAAATGCAAGTTAAACAGTGTGAGCTGTAACTACATATGTACTAGCTCTGGCCAGAAGCATACTTGACCATGCCAAATACCCTGAACTAGGCACAAAGCTCATGTCTAGACTTAACATGGGAGGCGAGATACGAAAAAGCAGTTGATGTGGGGTGTGTGTGTGTGTATGTGTGTGTGTGTGCATGCACATGTATGTGCAACAGGTCAATCTTGAATGTCATTTCCCAGAAGCCATCTGTCTTGTTTTGTGAGCCAGGGTCCGGAACTTGGAACTCACCCCGTGTGCTATGCTGTCCGGACAGCAAGTTCTGCTGATCCAACTGTCTCTGCCCCTTCTGGTCTGGAATTACAAGCATGTGCCACCATATCTAGCTGTTTTATGTGGCTTATGGAAATTCAAATTCAGATCCTTCTGCTTGAGCAAACACTTTGCCATTTGATCTATATCCTCAGCCCTCCTGACAGTTTGCTCTAAAGAACACCACTTACCACATGACTCAGAAACCCCACTCCTAATCCATTAGCCAACAAACAGAAAATAAGATCATATAAAGACTTGTACTCCTATATTAGCAATCTTACTCACAAAAGCTTGATAAATTAAAATGTCTATCAACTGCAGAAGAATAAAGAAATGGTGAGCAGGTGAGGTGGTACACACTTTTAATCCCAGCACTTGGGAGGCAGAGGCATGTTGTGAATTGTGAATGTTCTGGTTTGTGATATAGAAACATGTTTTTGTTATAATCCCAAATGGTTTTAGTTGGTCCACACCTGTTGTCTCATGCAGAGTGTGGTCTTTGCCAGTTGGAATTAGTTGAATTCTGAGGGCTTTGAGGGCTATAAAGATGATAGCCCAGAGGAAGAAGAGGTAGTCCCTTGGAAGAATTGGAGGACAACTGCTTGCAGCTGGTTCATCCTGCTGCTATGTTTACCGTTGCTGGTTACCTGGACTTCTGGATTTCCTGACGATGGATACTGGTATTGCCCCCAAGAGAATCTTACAACCCTACCCAGCAGGGAGAAGTAAAGAGGGCTACGCCCCCTTTCTCTTACAATCTTCTTTTTCCCCCTACCTGTGGTTGGGAAATTGGAAGGGAAGTATAAGCTTAAGGAACCCCCAAATAATTTGCATTTGAAAAACTAGCAAAGGTAGGCACATCTTTGTGAGTTCAAGACTAACCTGGTCTACAAAGCGAGTCTAGGACAGCCAGGGCTTTTACACAGAGAAACCCTGTCTCAGAAAACCAAACATGAAATGTTACTTGGCAATAAAAAGGAACTACTGTGTAATGCAAAACCACAAATTTTGGGAGAACCATCTCAAGTGATAGCGTCAGAGATAAATAACCATATTCACTAAAATGCTATTTTAAAATTATTTTAAAACACCCAAGTGTTTCGTTTGTGTACATGTTCATGCTACCACATGTGTATGGACGCAGAGGACAAGTGGTGCGAGTCTGTTCTCGCTTTCCATGATGTAGGTGCCCAAGATTGAACTTTTAAGTCATGAGGCTTGGCAGGGAGCACCTTTTCCCACTGAGCCACATCAGCTCTAAAATTCCATTTATATAAAGTTACACAGACAGCAAGATTATACAGAAAGCAGATCAGTGGTTACCAAGGGCTGTGATGGATGGAAGAGATTTGCTACCAAGGGGCACAAGAGAATTCTGGGAGCTGATGGCCATATCCTAGCAGCTCAAGGTTGTGGTGCAGTTATAAATGTCATCCAACCATGCTGTGACAGCTGCACCCTCCATTTGTAAAGTCTAAGGAACCCAAGGATTTGAGATACACTCACACACACGTGTGTGTAAATACATATATACATCTTGCTCTGGGTTATGTAATTGAAACTGATATAAGAGATATACAGATACTGGTTACTATTAATTTTCCTCAAGCTTAACATCAAATGTCAAGCATTATTAATCTCCATCAGGTTCCTTTTTTTTTTTTTTTTTTTTTTTTTGGTAGTTCTGGTTGTCCTAGAATGTATAGACCAGGTTGGTCTAGAACTCACAGAGCTCCACCTGCCTCTACCTCCTGAGTGCCGGGATTAAAGATATGCAACACTAACACCTGGCTGCATCCTATTTGTGATTTTTTTTCATAATTTATTTTTATTTTACGTGCACTGGTGTGAAGATATCAGATTCCCTGGAAGTGGAGTAACAGTTATGAACTGTCATGCGGGTAGCTGGGAACTGAACTCCTGTCCTTCAGAAGAGCAGATAGTGCTCTTAACCACTGAGCGATCTCCCTAGCCCCAACTTTTGTTGTTGGTTGGTTGTTTTTCAAGACAGGGTTTCTTGGAGACTGGAGAGATGGCTTAAAGGATAGGAGCACTGGCTGCTCTTCCAAAGGTCCCGAGTTCAATTCCCAGCAAGCACATGGTAGCTCACATGTGGTCTCATCTATGATGAGATCTGGTGCCCTCTTCTAACATGTAGACAGGACACTATATACATAATGAATGAATGAATAGCTGCGTAGCTCTGGCTGTCCTAGCACTCACTCTGTAGACCAGGCTGGCTTTGAACTCAGAGATCCATCTGCCTGCCTCTGCCTCCTGAGTACTGAGATTCAAGGTATGCACCATTACCACCTGCCTCTTATAAAATTCTTTTTCACTCTAATTTTTATTTGACCCAGGATACATAGGGCATAAAAACCACATATACACATTCAACATTTACTGTTAATAAACCATAAAGAATTTTATTTTAAAGCATTTTTTTTTGAAACAGGGTTTCTCTGTGTAGCCTTAGCTGTCCTAGACTCACTTTGTAGACCAGGCTGTCCTCAAACTCAGATCTGCCTGCCCCTGCCTCCCTGAATGCTGGGATTAAAGGCGTGTGCTTCAGCTTAAAGCATTTCTTTAGCGCACTTGCTACCATTTGAGAGGAGCCAGGTTTAGTTCCCACCATCATTTGGGTGGCTGACACCAGCCTGCAGTCCAGCTCAGGGCGATCTGCCCACCTCTCCCGGCCTCCATGGGCGCCTACACATGCATCAGCGTATATACATTTACGCCGAAATAACTTTCTTTTAAATCTTAAAAAAACACAAAAATTCAATACTTTGGTATTGAATACTTTGGTATGAATAAAATTTTATTCACTTATTAAAGCTTTTAAAAAATTGTGCCATGGTAGCATAAGCCTTTAATCCCAGCACTCAGGAGTGTAGAGGTAGATGGATCTCTGAGCTCAAGGCCAGCCTGGTCTACAGAGCAAGTTCCAGGACAGGCAGGGCCACACCGAGAAATCCTGACTCAAACAAAACAAAAAGAAAGAAAGAAGAAGAAAGGAAGAAAGGAAGGAAGGAAGGAAGGAAGGAAGGAAGGAAGGAAGGAAGGAAGGAAGGGAAGCCTTTGCATGCTAATAAGGTAGATATGCTTATAAAAGGAATTAAAGCTTGGTTGACCAGTTGACACTGAAGTACAAACAGCATCTTCGATGTTTTTCAAAGTTGAGCAACACTGTGATTTTGTAATTGTACATTCTGAGAACACTATTATACATATGTAGTAAAAAATAACAGAAGCACATTTAAGGTCTTTCAAGAAACTGCTAGAAATTTTGTTCCAATCCTAACCTAAATTCCAATTATTTTTTTTAATGAAACAACATCAATTTTTTTGTTTGCTTGTCTGTTTTCAGACAGGGTTTCTCTGTGTAACCCTGACTATCCTAGCACTCACTCTATAGACCAGGCTGTCCTCAAACTCAGATCCGTCTGCCTCTGCCACCCGAGTGCTGGAAATCAAAGGTGTGCCGCCGCCACCACCCAGCTCATATATCAATTTTTAAAAGAATCATGTGTGTCTACGCACATCTGTATGAACGTGAGTGCTGGTACCCAAAGTGGGGAAAAAAATTGGATTTCCTGGAGCTAGAGTTATAGACTATTGTAAGTCGCCCAATGTAGGTGCTGGAAATGAAACCTGGGTCTTTTTTAGCAGCTTCTGGCTCCCTGAAAACTTAATCATGGGTCCTAGGAAAATACTCTTGTCATAGACATAAGCACATGTATTTTCAAATAATGTAGCCCAATACCAGCTTCACATTAATTTAGACTCATGCCATCATTGACAGAATACAAAAAAAAAAAAAAAAAATCTCATTTATTGGAAATTACAGTTAATAGAAACCACGTTAGCTGTAGCTGTTAGTTTTCTGCTACTGTAGGGAATATTGGAGATAAATCAACTCAAGAGAAAAAGTTGTTGGTAGCTTACACCAGTAATCCTAGCACTCAGAGGCTGAGACAGATTACATGGGTTTAAGGTCAACCCACAAAGTGAGCTCCAGAGCAGCCTAGCGAGTGAGACCTTGACACTGACACACTGACACAGTGACACACACACACACACACAGAACTGGGCATGGTAGTACAAGTCTATAACCAAGAACTTTGAAATTGGAGATAGAAGGATCGCGAGTTCATGGTTACGCTTAGGTATAGAGAGAATTTGAGGTCAGCCTGATCTATAGGAAGCGGGATCTCAGAAAATATTTGGGGTGGGAGTTGGCTTACACTTTTGCAAGTTCCAGCCCCTGATCTAGTGGACCCATCCTTTTGGGTCTGAGGTGAACTACACATAATGGCAAGGTCCACATGACTGGAAAAACAGCTCAGTAGCCTAGAGGAGAAGCAGAATGAAGAAGCAGCTGGGCTCTAACAACCCTAAGAACAGTTCCCATCTAATGTTCACAACTACCCTAGGAGGTAGAGTTAAAGATGGGAAACCACCTCTCTACACACACAGAGACAGTAAGTCATATATGCACACCAGGTGACATTATTACAGTGACCTTCCCTAGACACAATCTGTGCTACTTTATCAGTCTATGTGACCATAAACTAGGAAAACAGGCTCACTTGTGTGTCCATGCTATAAGAACACTATGTTGACTGATCAACTATTCTGGAATGGCTTTTATTATTTTAGAAACATATCTCAAAACCTCAAAATATTTGTCCTTGCCAGTCTGCAGACTGACTGTTCATTTACAGTTTGATAACATCAACACCGACATTCTTAGACTATGACACTCCCTCTAAAGACCTGTATTTTTGGATTCACTTCAAAAAGTGTGTCTTCTTAATAAAAGACATAAGCCGGGCAACTGATGGGCATCCAGGCAGAGCTTGCCACTTTTCATCCAGGAGGCCTACTCCCTGCTGGGACCTCAGTGATTTCCACACTCACTCTGCCTGTGAGAACCAAGCCCTGGGGAAATGAATTTAAGGTGTGGTAAACTCACTCATTATTTCTTTAACCTGCACAAACACAGTCCTGGCTCAAAGGAGCCTCAGACTTTTCATTCATAAAGCTACTGTTTGACTCTACCTTCCTGTTTCTCAGAGTACTTCAGAGAAAGTGGAATGCCACTGAGGCTGGAGAGAGATGGGAACATTCACTGTTCTAAAATTTTAACTTCTCATGCAATTGTAAACCCACAAGTAGCTAGGCAGTACATAGCAGTAGTTGGGAAACTGCTACTATTGTCAACTGTCAGTCATTGGCAAGCTTGTCATACTATGAGAACTTAAGTTCAGAGCTGCAGGCACAAGGAAGCCATTTGAAAATACAATCAAAGTCAAGTTTGCTTACAGTGAGGTCTTCCCACTCTCTGGGGACTGGGTGAATCTGCCTTTATTCTTTTCTGTAAGGCTTCATCAGAGCACTCCAGAGCTCCTTCCAGGCCTTGCTCAGAGGCATCCGGCTTTGACTCTCCTGCTTCACTTAAATGGGACTTGTCAAGGTTTTCAGACATCCTCAGTTAAGTCTATTCGCTTTCCTAGGAAAGAAAGACAATGAGCCAAACTTGTTCATACCATGTCACTGACTGACTACTGGCAAACCCTTAGTCCCCGAGTTTCACTTTTCTCAACAGGCTTGCTAGGGTTTCATTCCTTTATACTCTACCTCAGTGATTAAACACACTTAGCCAATGACATCTGTAAGCAATCAAGAAAAACTGGAATGTCTGTCTCCTACTTCTGAGTAACAAGTCACAAGTTGGGGAGGTTGAATGACAGAAGACTTAAACTGCCTGCTTCTGCAAAGAGTAGTGATTCAGTCATAAGTCTTTACTGAAGCTGGTGTTTCACTGTGTAGCCCCTACTGTCCTTGAGCTTTCTATGTAGCCAAGTCTGGCCTTGAACTCACAGTCCTCCTGCCTCCAATTCATAAATGCTAGGACTACAGCTGTGCACCAGCACACCCACCTGAAACATAATCTTGCCTTCTGTGGCTGAGCTTACAGGAGATGTCACCGGAAAGCTGGACCTGCTCACACACTCTTGCAATCCTAACACTTGGGAGGTGGAGGAAGGAACAACCTCAAGGCCAGCGTCACTAAGTGAAAACAAACAACAACAAAATATCAGTCACTGGAGATAATGCTGCTAGTGATTAGGTTTTAACACACAGATGTTAAAACAGATGTGGTGAAAGGAAGTGCTATGTCTGAAATGTACTGGAACAAGAACAAAGAATAGACAAGGATACAGAGTAAACAAGACTGCTCTTTAAGAGACTATGGTTGGGCTGGAGAGATGGCTCAGAGATTAAGAACACGGGTTGTTCTTCCTAAATGTCCTGTGCTGAAGCGATAGATGGCTTCCTAGTCCTATCCTGTGGACAAAAGTAACTGGGAATGGAAGTTGGGGAGAGGGCTCGGTAGGTAAAGTGCTATCTCTGAAAGCACAAAGAGCTATATTCAGATCCCTAGTACACTGGAAATCCAGGCCCAGTACCAGGCCTGTGAGATACTCAGAGCTCATCTCTGGCTTCCATGTACAGGTGAACACACATACACAACCCTCCCTTCTAGATTAAAAAGATAATAACTGCAGAGGCAGGTGGATCTCTGTGAGTTAGAGGCCAGTCTGGTCTACATAGTGAGCTCCAGGGCAGCCCAACCTACATAGTGAGACCCTATCTCAAGACCCAAACTAATTAGTTAATTGGGGTGACAAATTGTCCTGGCTAGACTCCATAACGAGTTAAAGGAAAAATGTGTGAGGCATGTATTTTCAAGTAGTTGCTAATCAACAAAAGAACGTAAGTAGGAAGCTGCAAGCAATCAGAAGGGATGTGACTGGGTTTTCATTCTATTAATTGCTGATACGAACATAAAAGCTACCTGACACTCCAGTCTGACCCAGTCAATAGAGGCATCTTGTCAAAAGATTTATTATTTTATATGTATGAGTGTTTTCGCCTTCATGTATGCCTGTGCACCGCATGTACGCCTAGTGGCTAAGCTGGTCAGAACAGGACACTGGATCCCCTAAAACTGGAATTACAGATGGTAGTAAGACACCATGTGGGTGCCGAGAATCAAAGCTTCAGCCTCTGGAAGAGCAGCCAGTGCTCATCACTGCTGAGCCAGTTCCCCAGCTCAAGATCTATTTATTTTTATGTGGATGAGTATTTGCCTGCAGGTATGTAGAAGACACCAGATAACCCAGAACTGGGGTTAACAGGTGGTTGTGAGGAGGTTGGGAACCAAATCTGGGTTCTCTGGAACAGCAGCCAGTGCTCTTGACTGCTGAGCCGTCTTCAGCGCCATAAAGGAACCTTTTCATTACATTCAAGTTTGTTTGTTTTTTTTTTTTAAATCCTCCCCCACCCTCCTCTACTTTCAGGCTATTTCTAGTTAAGAAAAACAATGCTTCTGTATTTACATCACTGAAAATGACACTTTGAAGATCACAAACTATCATAATAAACACTAATTCGGCTTAATTATACACTTGGGGTGATAGTTAAAGTATCTAAAGAAGTATAGGAATTTGTAAAGAGATTTGACACACTTCTGCACACTGGAAAGAAAGAAAGAACCACTTGGTCTAATGACCCAAAACCTCCAGAGACCTCTATTAAGTAAAAAAGGTTACAGGGATTGACATTTTTAGGCCTGTTGTGAGAGTCGGCCTCAACTGTCACTTGGTGACATGAAGCTTCACTATGGATTGGACCCTCTGCGAACGGTCTAGATTAGCCTAACTCGTGGGCATGCTTGTGAGATTTTCTTGATGGTCACTGAGATGGGAAGACTCTCATTCACATGTGGGCAGCACTGGTTCCTGAGCTGGGGTTCTGGTCAGACAAAAGGGAGGGAGGGAGTCGTGCATGAGCATGTCTCTGTTTCTTGACCATGAATGTAATGTGTCCAGCTACCTCATGCACCTGCTGGACTGTGAGCCAAAAAATAATACCCCTTACATACTTTTTTTTTTTTTTTTTTTTTTTTTTTTTTGAGACAAGGTTTCACAACCCTGGCTAGCTTGAAACTCTATACAGAGAACAGGCTGGTCACCACCTCGCAGAGATCCACCTGACTCTGCCTCTTGAGAGCTGGGGGTAAGGGGTTACCACCATGCACAGCTGCATTTTACCTTTCTAATCCAGTTGCATTGGTAATTGGTATCATCATGTCTACCACCACCGCCGTCGCCGCCACACACACTTTTTTTTTTTTTTTTTGGAGACAATCCCTCTATGGAGCTCTGGCTTCATACTAGGCCTTACTATGTTGACCAGGTTGGCCCAGAACTCTGAGAGAGCTGCCAGCCCCAGTCTCCTGAGTTCTCGGATGAAAGGCTTGTGTTACCACACTGACCCGACTTTTCCTTCCAAAACCCGTCTTTTCATTGTCCTAAATCCTACTAGAGTTTAGAAGTGCAACAGAACCAATGTATAGCATTACCTTCAGCTTGTATAAGAAACAAAACCACATCTAACTTTATCCTCTTCACATGCCAAGACGCTGCCCAGGTGAGGTCATTCACTGGGTGCAGAAAGGAAGAAAGGCAAGAAAGACTCTGAAGCTCAGGAGACTGCCCCCAACACTCTGTTCAGGTTCTCTCTCTCTCCACGGCGGATCCTTCAACCTTGTGAATGTTTACACTTTTCTCCAAAGTCCTGCAGGGCTGATTGCTAGACAGCTGGCATCCATCACTGCCATAATTCCGTTCAAATACTATTATTTAAATTGGGTTAGAAAGATGAAAACAATCCAGCCGGAGACAGATACGCTCACAGGGAGCCACATGAAACTCAAAAGTAGCATGACGCTGCTATTCTGAATAGCAGGAAGAAGCGGAGAAAAACCTTCCCAGAAAAGAGGACATGTGACCTATCTTTGAAAGGAGTAGAATTTCACCCAGCTATAAAGTGGGGTGGGGATGGGAGGTGAGAGGGGCATGTTTCATTCCTCTGGCAGAACCATGGCACCCAAAATGCAAAAGTGGCAGGTAGCAAAGATGGGAAAGAAGAGTTAAGGGTCAGATGGGGAAAGTGTTAATTTGTACTTAAAAAACAAAACAAAACAAAACAAAACTCTGCCTAGATTTTGAATTCCCCAGGAGCCAAGACCAACCATATTCTCCACAAACGCTCTATTAGTATTATCTAGCCCCAATCCGGGCAAACAGATACCCATTTGTTGATAGCCATAAATCCCTGTGTCATCTGTGTGATGTCATCGTACTGGGAGAGGCTGCCCAAGGTGTTCAGGGCAGTACTGGACCCGTGGTGTAAAACCGCCAATAACTCTAGTAAAAGTGATCAGATCAAAAAAAAAAAAAAAAATTTTTTTTTAAATGTCCTATTCTCCGTCACTACTCAAAGTCCGATTCCGGCTCTTTGGAGGCTATGCGGCTTCAGTTTTCTATAGTTAACGTGCCTCCTCATTTAACGGATAAAACTACACGGCGACCACAGCTGGCACACAACGACCACTCCACGACTGGCACCTATGTAATTAAAGAGCTGTACCATGCATCCGGGGGTCAATTGCTCTCATTCATTGGCTCAACAACCAGACAACCCTACCAGAAAACAGAGGGGAGGATCCTGGCACGGGGACCCGCATCTGTCAGAGCGGCACGCGGGGCCCCAGCTGAACACAAAAGAATCCTCCAGAAAGGGTCTCTCGGTGAGAGGAAGCCCTCTGCCCACCCGCGCCAGCCAGCCAGGAACCGCGTCCACATTCCGTTGTAAACAGCTGTTTGGGCGGGCGAGGGAGGGAGCGGCAGGGGCGCGCCGGGACTGCGGCCTGGGCCACGGGCCTCTCCACCCAGCCCCGTCCCCTCTCCGCTTCCACTCGGCATCCCCCGGGGCCCGACCGCCGAGAAAGGCCAGTGCTACCCCCACCATCACCACCACCATCATCACCACCACCACGGCGCCCTCCCGCGCTAGCCCGCCGGCTCCACGACCGCCCGGCTCACCTGCGGCGGCAGCGGATCCCGCGGGGCGGGCGCCGCGGCGGGCGGGAGCTGGGCCTCGAGCCCTCCCGGGCCGCCTGGCTCGCCGTGCCGTCCTCCCGGCCGCGCTCCGGTGTGCAGCGGCCACGGCGACCGCTCCTCGGCGCTGGGGCCGTGGGAGGCGGGATGAGCCTGCCCAGAGTGGGGCGGCGCCTGGCTCCTGTACGGACCGACCTGTACGTCACGCCGCGGCTCGGCAATCGGTAGCTCCGAGCTGGACCTTGTTTAGGGTGCTTTTGTGTGGGAAGGCTGGCGCGGGGTCTGCAGCGGGGTCGGGTGCCGGCCGCGGGAGCGCGGGGTCAGGCGGCTCCGAGACACTCACGCGGCACAGGGAGGCGCCATGTTGCTGTACGGAAAAGCCGAGGCGAGCCGCCTGGGGCTCGGGAGAAGAGTGAACCGAAAGGTAAGGTGCCTCACAAGCCACCTTTCCTGCCAGGACTTTGAAATTTTGAGTAGTCCATCATCTACGTCATCTTCAGCAGGCGGGAGTACCAGCAGGCCTCTTCCTTAGAGCCCCCTTTCTGTCTCTGGGCTCTGGCATTTATTCCCTCTCCAGAGTCCTCAGAACTAAACTATCTGCAGCTGGCAGAGAGCTCCTTTCAAAGCCAGCACGAGGCAAATAGTTTGCTGCTGTGGACCATCTGAATCAGTCCCATATCCCACACCTGGGTTAATACAGAAACCTGTTTACATAGCATAACTGAGTTTTTAAAGACACCAAAACTTTCCATTACAAGCCATCCTTTTTCTTCACGTGCTTCATTTGTTAGTGGTCTCTGGATTCCTTAGTTGGATGCTTTTATTTTCCTGGAAAGATAAAAACAAAACCCTGCCCAAACCCTAACTCTGGGGGTTTCCTTTTTTAGGGGGTTATATCTTTCCTAGGGCAAAATAGTTTTTTGGCAACAGAAAAAGTATTATCTTTCAATTGAAATTTTAAAAATTATTTTGAAAATTTGAAGCTAAACATATATTAGTACGGAAAAAAATATGCCTATATTCCCTTTTCTCCTTATACACAAAGTCAAGGTTTAAATGTATTTGTTTTTAGACACCTGCTGTGAAGCGGCTCAATATTTCCACACCTGGGATTAAAATGAAAGCGTATTCCCATAATATTTCTGTGGGGGTTTTTGTTTGTTTTTGTGTAACAGGGTTTCTCTGTGTGACAGCCCTGTCTATCCTGGAACTCTCTCTGTAGACTAGGCGGGCCTCAAACCTGCTTCTGCTTCCAAGTGCTGTGATTAAAGGCATGTGCCACTACACCCAGCTCCGGTTATTTTTTTAAAGAAACCAAAATTACCAAATTCTTACTACCCACTTGCCGCTGTCTTCCAAGTGCTGACATTAAAGGCATGTGCCACCATGCCCAGCTGGTGAAGAAATTCTAAAACTGTGTCATCTAAAAACTATCGGTGATGCCAGGCAAGAATGGCAAGCTTTCCAGGTGATTAAAACATGCAGCCAGAATGGAACACAGACATCTACCTTAACTGAAGAGTTTCTAAAACTAAGTCTTCCTTGGAGAGGCTAGAAACAATACCAAAACCATTCTATTTAGGGAAATTCATCTGTTTTTTTGTTTTTGTTTTTTTCAAGACAGAGTTTCTCTGTAGCCCTTGCTATCCTGAACTTGCCTTGAACTCACAGAGATCCACCTGTCTCTACCTTCTGAGTGCTGGAATTAAAGGCATGTGCCACCGCTGCCTGGCCAGGATGATTCATCTGTAATCTTTTTCCCCTAAATATTATAAATACTCACTCATGTGCCAGTTTAACCTGTGGCTGTAAAGACTGGAAACTCAAATTAACCTTGAGATAAAGGCAGCTCACTGCCAGGCTGCATTTGGAGGAAGAAAAGTAACAGCTGTCCTGGAGGTGAGTTGCTGTCACCCCCTGGGAACACACAGGATTTCTTGTTTCTGGTTTCTCAGTGTTGCTCCTTCATGCTTTAGATTTGCCTGGGTAGAAGTTGGCCAGCCAAATTGGCTTTTGCATAACGCCTGTCTCATTGGTCTACAGGAGGCTGCCTTTGGATGAGGTACTCAGCCTCAATCTACCCTGCCGAAAGGAGGCCAAGCTCGCAATCACCTAAACATGGAGCACACACGTGGGGTTGGGCCCCTTAGCAGGCATCATGGATGAAGAGAGCAGAGCTGACAGTATGGACAGTTCTAGGGAGCCAGCACAGTTCTCCAAGGTTTTCAGAGTGGTAATGGTGCTATGACTTAAAGTTCATAATGTCTTCAGAAAATGATAAATTTAACATTTGAATATCCTGTTCTTGGGCTAATGAGCTGGCTCAGTGGGTAAAGGAGATTGCTGATGACCTGAGTTTGACCCTCATGGTGGAAGAAGAGTTCTGAATCCTACTCCAAATTGTACTGATCTTGACATATATGCTTGAGTGCACACACACATGCATAAATGTAATATACATATATTACACATATATATACATATTACATATATGTAATATATATTACATATATACATATGTATTACATATATATTACATATATACATATATAATATATGATATATATATATATGATATATATATATATATATTACGCTTGAGGTAAGTCACCCTGCCCACCCCACACATATCCCAGATGAGAGCTTGCTGTGAAGCTCAGGCTAAGCTGGAAACACAACCTTCCTGTTTTCAGCTGCTGAAGTACTGGGATTAGACACAGGCCATTGTATCTGGCTTTAAACTGATTTTATTACAATGTTTTCCATGGAATGATCATTGTTAGAATGTTGCTTCTTCAAGAAGCATGAACAAGTGCTGGAGCCATGGCTCAGCAGTTAAGAGCACTGACTGCTCTTCTACAAAGAATCTGGTTCGATGCCCAGCTTCTACATGGTACCTCACAACTGCTTATAACTTCAGTTCCAGGGGATCTGAACCACTCACACAGGAATTGTGCACAAACATGCAGGCAAAATGCCAATACAAAATAAGAGTAAATAATAAAAAAAAGAAAATAAAAATAAATTTTAAAAAAAGTAAATAGAAAAGCACGAACAAGTTGGCATGGTGGTGAAGGCCCATAATCCCAGCACTCAGGAGGCATAGGCAGGCAGGCTACTGAGTTTGAGGCCAGCCTGGTCTACAGGGAGTTCCACAGACTTACACAGAAAAACCCTGTCTCAAAAAAGCATGAACAGTGCTAGCAGTTAGAAACTAAATGTTCCTGTTTTTTCCTGAGGGTATTAGTTCTCGTAGCCAAAGATTCATGCTTTAGTTATGTGCAAAACACAGATTGCAAAACAGATAGTGTGCAGCTGCTCCAACTATGTGGGTCTCAGTAGTCTCCGTAGCCTTTCTGAAATCTATCATGATCTTTTTCTTTCACCACGTTTTTAAAAAGTTTTTATATGCATTGGTGTTCTGCATTCATGTATGTCTGAGGGTTCCTCTGGAAGTGGAGTTACAGACAAGTGAGCTGCCATGTTGGGACTTGAACCTGGGTCTTCTGGAAGAGGATCCATGCTCTTAACCACAGAGCCATCTCTCCAGCCCTTCTTTTATCACTTTCTTTCTTATCTTTTTGTTTTTTCGAGGCAGGGTTTCTGAGTGTAATTTTGGCTGTCCTGGAATTCACTCTGTAGACCAGGCTGCTCTTGAACTCAGAGATCCACCTGCCTCTGCCTGAGTGCTGGGATTAAAGGCGTGTGCCACCAGCGCCCAGCCTCTTCCACCACTTTTACAGCTTTCTTTTTCTTAATTGTACTCCAAACCTAGCTTTCCTAAGGTAATTGGTATCATATATATTATAGTTGTCAGCCTGTTTGAAAACTACCTGCTGTTAGTTTCATTAGCAAATAATAAGTCACCCATCGTATGCCAGCAGATTGGGACATTATTCAAATTCTCCCTACCACTTTAAGATATTTCCTATTACATCGATTTTGTACGTGTGTGTGTGTGTGTGTGTGTGTGTGTGTGTGTGTGTGTGTGGTCACCTGTGCCATGGCACACATGTGAACAGAGGAAAACAGAATTGGTCCTCTACCACACGGGTCCTGAGGATTGAGCTTGGCTCATCAGGCTTGGTGGCAGGTGTCTTCATCCACCAAGTCATGGCGTAAGCCCCAAGTGAAATTAACCGGGAAGTAGCTCAGTTAAGAGTGCTTGCCTTGCATGCATGAAGCCCTAAGTTTCATCCCCAGCATTGCTTACACTGTGTAATGGCACACACTGGTCATCCTAGCCCTTGGGAGGTAGATACAGAAGGGTCAGTTCAATGTCTTCCTCAGTTACTTTTGGAGTTTGAGCCCAGTTCACACCTGTAATCCCAGCAATCCTATTGAGATGGGAAGGGGGCAAATTGCCTAGAAGCTAGAGCCAGCTGGCCTAGAGTATGCAGAAAGCAAGGCCGAAACAAGAGACTCCACCTCAGAAACTGGCAGGAGAGAACCAAGTCACAAAAAGCAGTAGTCCTCTGGCCTACACATGTACATCCCAGAACACTCATACATGCACTCACAAAGAAAAAGAAAAATTAGGCTAAACTAAAACATAAAATTCAGTCTCGTAAAATGTTAACAGAGATGAAAAAATATTTCAGTTATATTACAGTGGTATTTTATAGTACTTGTCCACTTAACATGCCCAGTCAGTGTAGTTAATCCAAAATAATCATGTCGTTGGTAGCTTAAAACCTTCACTCTACTTAGCAATTTACAAGAAATACTGGACACAAAGGAAATGAAAGATTAATGTAATTGCCAAGTCAGTTGATTGCAATTTATGAACACTGTTTGGATCCCTATTGGAATAACCCTGAGAAGCTGGAGCACAGACTGCATGTTGGTATTAGTCTTGACATTAAGGAACTGCAGAATTCTGACCGTGATTAACGGTTGTTGTTTTGTTTGTTTGTTTGTGAGACAGGTGTTTGTAGCCCTGGCTGTCCTGGAAAACTATGTAAATAAGACATCCACTTGCCTCTGCCTCCCAAATTCTGGGATTAAAGGGGTAAGCCACCACATCCTGCTAGTGATTAGGTTTTAACACACTTTAGACAGATGTGGTGAAAGGAAGTGCTATGTCTGAAATGTACTGGAACAAGAACAAAGAATAGACAAGGATACAGAGTAAACAAGACTGCTCTTTAAGAGACTATGGTTGGGCTGGAGAGATGGCTCAGAGATTAAGAACACGGGCTATTCTTCCTAAACGTCCTGAGTTCAATTCCCAGCAACCACATGGTGGCTCACAACCATCTGTAGTGAGATCTGGTGCACAGGTATACAGGTAAGCAGAATGCTGTATAAATAATAAATCTTTAAAAAAGAGAGAGACTGGTCAATACTGTGGGCTTTTGCTTTTTTGAAGACAGGATTTCTCTGTGTAGCCTTGGCTCTCCTGGACTCACTTTGTAGACCAGGCTGGCCTCAAACTCACAGCGATTCACCTGCCTCTGCCTCCGAGTGCTGGGATTAACCTCGGACCATGCCTGGCTGGTTTATACTGTGGATGTGCACACGTGAGTCCATTATTCCAGTCTCATTTTTACATACTTGTAAAGCCCCAAAATAAGCTTAAAGTGTTTAAATTTTCAGAAACATGGGTACAATCTTAAAAAAAAAAAAAACCTCTCTATAGTTAACTTATGATCATTAGAAAATCCACTGTTTTAATTGTCAGTTTCTGTTTTACGCCTTAAAGGAGAACCTTCCTAAAATACAAAAATGACGGGTGTGGTGGTGCGCACCCTCAGCTCCAGCACAGCCTATTTTACACAGGGACCCTGGCTCGACAAAACAAAAACAAGACAAATCCCTATCCTTACTAATATGTAACTAGATTTCCTGTGAAGTACTCCATATTTTAACAGGTGAGTAGATGTACCATGTGTGTACATTGCCCACACAGGTCAGAAGAAGGTGTTGTAGGGCCCTGAGACTGGAGTTACACATGCTTATGAAGGTGCTGGGACCTAAACCCAGGTCTTCTGCAAGAGCAACAAGTACTCTTCACTGTTAAGCCATCTCTCCAGCCCCCGTACTTACATAAATACATGGCTGCTCTATTCTCTTAAGTCCCTATGATTCTCTATATAAACTGAACATAATTATAAATAACTCACCTAACAGGTCAGCCTGACAGCAGTACGCCATCTGAGTAAAATGTCTTGACACATATGGGTATAAAAAGTTTTATTAAGTACAACTTCATATTTAAACATCCAAGCTTACAAATATCTTTAGGATACATAATTTGCCCTTAAAATATACAACTGCACATACATATAGACATTAGAAACTCAGTCTCCAAAATACTCAGTGAAGATGTCTGGATGACACTTATGGAACTGGCCTAGCAGTTTCTTCTTCTCTTTGGCAGAGAGTTTTGAGTCCTCATCAATAGTCTTTAGTAAGCTCAACAGTTCATCTTTGGTTTTCTTCTGGCTACTGCTACAGTAGTCACTTCCATCAATTCTCTGGCAGTAAATATAGCCTTAAAGTTTAAAAGCAGAAAGTCCCAGTCAGTGACTCTAGTCTTCACATTTAACTAGAAAAATAATGCGCTATTTCCTTTTCCTCTGAGATTCTATAAAATGTTTTAAAGAGGGTAAGGATAACCCTCGTCAAACTGATTTAGCCAGCCTATGAGATGACTCGTGGGAAAGGCACTTGCCTCTAAGCCTGATGACCTGAGTTCAATCCTTGTGACCCTTATGGTAGAAGCAGAGAATCAACTCCTGAAAATTGTCCTCTGACCTACACATGTGCAGAGAAAGAGAGAGAGAGACAGAGAAAAAGAGAGAGACTGAGATTAGGTAAGAAATATAACTTTTAAAGGTCTTAAAACAGACAAGAATATGAAAGTTGTTTTAACCCAGGAAGCACTCTGCTAAGCTTAGAAAATTGAGGGGAATGTTTCAAATTAGTTGAAACTAATCATTGCAAAAATAATTTCAAATCAGCACTATGGACTTGCCTTTGGAAGATGATGAAAACATTAAGCTAGGAGTGGCCTCAAACGCTTGTGATTTGGGCACGTGGAAGTCAGAGGCAGGAGGACCAGGACTTTAAAGTCATCTTTGGCTATATAGCCCTGACCAGCCTGGGCTGCAATGAGATCTTGCCTGGGGAGAAAAAAAAAAAAAAAGACCCTGCAGATAATATTCTTTAATTACCTGTGTCTTTACTAGGATCTCTTCCTTTTTGTATGGCCAGAAGCTTAACACTCACAATTTTATGTAGAGTTCCGGGAATCTTAAAAAGGAGTGACACAGGACAATTACTCAAGTACATTTTAATCAGTTACAAGTAAACACGATTAGTTACTGTCAGAGTCTTACCTTGAAAACATCTTTTTGGTGATCCATTAGGAACAGTACCAGAAGATCAGTTTTGCCTTTGGATAAGTTTTTATTGTTGACAATAGCTTTTGAGAACACCCTTTTCACAGCCATCCGATTGTCACTCTGTAAGAATGAAGACATACCTCATGCTATGTATTTGAAAGGCTAGGTTTAGTACTAAAGGGGTATCAAATAGAAATAGGTTGTCACTGTAGCATACTGTAGCACACTGTAGCACACTGGACGCTGAGGACACTGAAAACAACATTTGAACAGACTTACTTCTTTCTGTAATTTATATTCGGAAGGATGTGCTGCAACAGCCATGAAGTAAAGCAGTCTTCTAAATTCTTCCCTATTTTGGGAATCCAGAAGCTTCAGAAACAGCTGAGTAGCTTCTAAGGCTATTTCAGTCTTCCCATTTACTTTAGCCAAAAGAAAAAAATTGCTTAATTAACCAAATATTAAAATGAAAAAAACTCATTACAGTTCATGTCAAGTAGTATACTTCCTCAAAGTTATTTCCAAAAACAAAAACAAAAAGTGGGAACAAAACAGGAGCACACCAACTCCAGAAACTTGTTCTCTGACCTCCACATTTGTGCCACAGCATGCACACATATATGTGCACACTTACTCACAAATGAGTGCAATTTAAATAAATAAAAATAAAATGGATGACCAAAACCATAAAGACAGCCTGTTCTCAAATCAGCAACTGATACCATAGGCCCCTGTCACAGATTTTTAAGTATAACTCTTGACTTTGTAAATTCCCACTCTATTTCTCAAGCACATTTTGAGGGTGTACTATGTATATAATGCTGAAAACTGGACCTGAGAAAAATAGAAGGGATTCTCTGAAACTCCCAATTTGGTTTTCAAAATCCATGTGGCAGGGTGACTGTGCAGATCAGAAAGGGCAGAGCGTTGCCCTCTTGAAGGGGCTGCAGGGTCATGCTGGTAACTCCTGTAAAGCAGAGAACTGCCGCTCGCTCCTGCCTAGGCGTGCAGTGCTCTGAAGCAGCCAAAGTTCCTATAGCACTCTGGAGTCGCTCAGGGCTTAGGTAAACCCTACATGTGTTAAAACAAATCATTCTCTGTAGACTAACCCACATCCCCTCCAAGCTCAACAGAGTACTGATTGGGTTCATTTTGAGGACTCTGGTATCTAGTAGGCACTCACTTACCTAGAAGCTCTGCTATTCCGTTATGAACATCACACAGGTGGTTTAACAGAGGTTCCCTAGTACTGTAATATTTGCCAATAGCATCAAACAGAAGTTCCTTCACTAAGTCTGTTCTGTCTGGTTGCTCAGGAAAATTCCTGCTTATGTCCACAACCATCTGGTCGGGAAGATACTCCAAGCAGTCAATGGCTGCAGAGACCCATTCATCCTCCCTAGAGCAAGGGAGAGAAGGATTATTGTAAAAAGCAAAGAAAAATAGACACATAGTATCTAATTCCTTAGTTATTTCAAGCTGGCCACTAGGATAAAATGTTCTACACTTAAAGACAGTAGAATCATTTACCATATACCTAAAATGTGTATGACAGGTTTAAAAAATTAGCTACATTGCATTTTCCATAGGTAAAAAATATCATTAACTACATTGAGGATGTAAAGGTCATCAAAATTAAAACCTGGCCTCAAATTCCCAATCCTGATTCTCCCCAGTGCTAGGATTACAGATGTGTGATCCACCCACATCTGGTTTCAGACATGACTCTTAAAGCTGTAAGCAACTCTACCATACAGTGTTGCTAGCTTCAGTCACCTGTAGACCTGCTATCTCTAGCTTTAACCTATGACAGAACAGAGTATGAAAAAAAAAAAAAAGCAACGTTTCTTGTTTTGTTTTGCTTTTAGAGGCAGATAACATTTCAAAATAATCAAATCAACAGGTAAAATGTTCTTTGGGAGCTTACAGTCTCTTATAACTCAGGCTGGCCTTCACCTCCCTATGAAGGTAAGAATGACTGTCAACTTTTGATCCTCCTGAGTGCCTGGATTATACTACCATATTAGCAGGTGTTTGGAGACTAAACCCAGGGATGTGTAAATGAGAGGCAAACACTCTACCAACTGAGCTACATCCCCACCCAGAAAATGCTTCATTTCAATAAATTTGTTATGTATCTTCTACTGCCATAGACTCTAGGGTTTACAAAAAAAAAATATTAAAGCCAGATATCTTTAAATTTATTACACATTCTTTACTGCCACAGACAGCTAGGTTTATAAAAAAGATGAAACTAGACATCTTTAAGGTAATTTCTAGCACAAATTCTGAACATTAATGTAATTATAAAACTATCTCCACATTACTTTAGGTTGTAGAAATGTAAATGTGTAGAATGAGCTTTCTATTATCTAAGCAGGACTTAACAGCTATTATGTTAAAATCAACACTTTCACATAGGCTTTAAGCCTTAAATTTTTTTTAACTTTTTTTTGTTTTTTTGAGACAGGGTCTTTGTATGTAGCCTTGGTTGGCCTGGAACTCACTATTTGGACCAGGCTGACCTCAAACTCAGATATCTGCCTGCCTCTGCCTCTAGTGCTGGCATTAAAGGTATGCGCCAGCACACCAGGTTCTTTATTTGTTAGCATTCAACCTTTCATATTAACGATTATGGAAATGCAGAGCTAGGAAGGAGAAAGTTGCCCTCCTTAAACACTTCCATTTCCTTAACTGGACTGGAACACTACCTATGGAAGCAAAATAATTAATCATTAAACCAACTGAATTCACAGAAGTTATTTTAATCTTGGTTTTTTTTGTTTGTTTGTTTTGTTTTGTTTTTTTTTACCTTTTTGTGTATTTTGTTTGCTTTTTGAGACAGGGTTTCTCTGTGTAGCCTTGGCTGTCCTGGACTTGCTTTGTAGACCAGGTTGGCCTCGTATGCTTCCTCTGGCCTCCCTGAGTGCTGGGATCACAAGGTATGTGCCACCGTGATGAACAGCCATTTTACTGTTTAATAACTTTACTTAGGAGAAGAATATTTCAAGTTGTGAGGAACATGTGTTTTCCTTAAGCTACGTCTGCTCTTAGTACTGTACTAGAAGGTTACAAATCTTGCCGGGTGGTGGTGGTGCACACCTGTGATCCCAGCACTCAGAAGGCAGTGTGGATCTCTGTGAGTCTGAGGACAGCCTGCTCTACAGAGCGAGTTCCAAGACAGCCAAGGCTATACAGAGAGACCTTGTCTTGAAAACAAAACAAAAAAACTAAAAAAAGATTTACATTCAAAATGATGGCTGGAAGTGAAAGGGTTACTTGGAAAACTAGTTAATTAACTTATTTAACAAGCATTCTCAAGAATCGTACTCAGTCAAGATTACAAAAATTTGTCAAATCTGTTCATTTTAAGTCTGTTAGATCTTAGGACAGTCTATGCCCCAAATACAAGAGCACCTGCATTTGTAAACCTTAACACTCCACTCTCCCCAAGGGACAGAACATTTAGACAGAACCTAAATAGGGAAACGATGACACTTACAGAAGGCTTAAATCAAATGGACCTAATAGATGTCTACTGAACTTTTCACCCAAACTCAAGAGTATACCTTCTTCTCAGCACCTCACGGAACCTTCTCCAAAACTGACCACGTAGTCAGCACAAAGCAAGCCTCAACAGATATAAGAAGATAGAAATAATCCCTTGTATCCTATCAGACCACCATGGCCTAAAACTAGACCTCAACAACAACAGAAATAACAAAAAGCCTACATACATGGAAACTGAACAACTCTCTTTTAAATCCCCCCTGGGTCAGGGGAGAAATTAAAAAAAAAAAAATTAGAGACTTCCTAGGGTTAGAGAAATGGTTCAGAGGTTAAGAACACTGTCTGCTCTTCCAGAGGTCCTGAGTACAATTCCTAGAGACTTTCTAAAATTCAATAAAAATGAAGGCACGACTTACCTAAATTTATGGGACACAATGAAAGCAGTGCTAAGAGGAAAGTTCATAGCACTAAGTACCTTCAGAAAGAAGTTTGAAACATCCCTTATAGGCGACTTAACAGGACACCTAAAAGCCCTAGAAAAAAAGTAGACACACCCAAAAGGAGTAGACCATTGGAAATAATGAAACTCAGAGCTGAAGTCAATAAATTAGAAACAAAGAAAACAATTCAAAGAATCAATGAATCCAAGAGCTGGTTCTTTAAGAAAAATCAATAAGCTAGACAAACCGTTAGCCAAGCTAACTAAAAGGCAGAGAGAAACTATCCAAATCAGCAAAATCAGAAATGAAAAGGGGACATGACAACAGACGCTGAGGAAATCCAAAAAATCATTAGGTCATACAACAAAAGCCTATATGCCACAAAATTTGAAAATCTAAATGAAATGGACAATTTTCTTGAGGATTCCATTTACCAAAATTAAATCAAGGTCAGGTAAATAGATTAAATAGTCCTATATCCCCCAAAGGAAATAGAAGCAGTCATCAAAAGTCTCCCTTCCAAAAAAAGCCCAGGGGCCAGATGGTTTCAGCACAGAATTCTACCAGACCTTCAAAAAAGAGCTAACTCCAATACTCTTCAAATTATTCCACAAAATAGAAAGAGAAGGAATATTACCAAACTCACTCTATGAGGCCACAGTCACCTTGGTACCTAAACCACACAAAGACCCAACAACAACAACAACTTCAGACTTATCTCTCTTATGAACATTGATGCAAAAACACTCAATAAAATACTCGCAAACCGAATCCAAGAACACATAAAAGATATCATTCACCATGACCAAGTAGGCTTCATCTCAGGTAGGCAGGGGTGGTTCAATATACGGAAATCAATCAATATAATCCACCATATAAATAAATTGAAGGAGAAAAACCACATGATCAGCTCCTTAAGTGATAAAAAAGCATTTGCCAAAATCCAACACCAATTCATGTTTAAAGTCTTGGAGAGATCAGGGATACAAGACACATACCTAAAAATACTAAAGGCAATATACAGCAAGCCTAGAGCCAACATCAAACTAAATGGAGAAAAACATAAAGCAATCCCACTGAAATCAGGGACAAGGCAAGGTTGCCTACTCTCTCCGTATCTCTTCAACATAGTACTTGAATGCCTAAGCTAGAGCAATAAGACAACTAAAGGAGATCGGGAATACAAATCGGAAAGGAAGAAGCAAAGTATCATTATTCGCAGATGATATGATAGTATACGTGAGTGACCCCAAAAATTCTACCAGAGAACTCCCTCAGCTGATAAATACCTTCAGCAAAGTGTCTGGATACAAAATCAATTAAAAAAAAAAAATCAGTAGTCCTCCTGTATACAAAAGACAAAAGGGCTGAGAAAGAAAGTAGGGAAGCAACACCCTTCATGATAGCCACTAAAAACATAAAGTACCTTGGTGAGACTCTAACCAAGCAAGTGAAAGACCTGTAAAAACTTCAAGCCTCTGAAGAAAGAAGCTGAAGATATCAGAAGATGGAAAGATCTCCCATGCTCATGGATTGGTAGGACTAACATAGTGAAAATGGCCATCCTACTAAAAGCAGTCTACAGAGTCAATGCAATTCCATCAAAATACCAACAAAATTCTTTACAGACCTTGAAAGAACAATTCTCAATTTCCTATGGAAAAACAAAAAAACCCAGAATTGCTAAAACAATCCTGTACAATAACAGATCGTCTGGAGGTATTTCAATCCCTGATCTCAAGCTGTACCATAGAGCAAAAGTAATAAAAACTGCATGGTACTGGCATAGAAACAGAATGGTGGATCAATGGAATTGAATAGAAATAAAACCACATACCTACAAATACTTGATTTTTGACAAAAGAGCCAAAACCATACAATGGAAAGAAGATAGCATCTTTAACAAATGGTGCTTGTCTAACTGGATGTCTATATGTAGAAAAATGCAAATAGATTCATATTTCTTACCCTGCAAGAAACTAAAATCCAAGTGGCTCAAAGACCTCAACATAAAACCAGACACACCTGTCAGAAGAAAAAGTGGGGAAGAGCCTTGAACTCATTGGCACAGGAGACAATTTCCTGAACAAAACACTAACAGCACAGGCTCTAAGAACATCAATAAATGGGACCTCATGAAACAGAAAAGCTTCTGTAAAGCAAAGGGCACTGTCATCAGAACAAAAAAACAGCCTACAGACTGGAAAAGGATCTTCACCAACCCTATATCTGACAGAGGGCTAATATCCAGAATATATAAAGAACTCAAGGAGTTAAACACCAACAAACCAAGTAATCCAATTAAAAAATGGGATACAGAGCTAAACAGAATTCTCTGTAGAGGAACATCGAATGGCAGAGAAACACTTAAAGAAATGTTCAACAGCGTTAGTCATCAGGGAAATGCAAATCAAAAAGACCCCGAGATTTCACCTTACACCCATCAGAAGGGCTAAGATGAAAAACTCAAGTGACAACACATGCTGCAGAGGATGTGGAGAAAGGGAAACTTTCCTCCATTGCTGGTGGGAGTGTAAACTTATACAACCACTTTGGAAATCATTCTGGTGCTTTCTCAGAAAATTAGGAATAGTGCCTGGAGAGGAAAGGAACTCCACAAGGAGAGCAACAGAACCAAAACATCTGGGCACAGGGGTCTTTTCTGAGACTAGTACCCCAACCAAGGACCATGCATGAAGATAACCTAGAACCCCTGCACAGATATAGCCCATGGCAGCTCAGTCTCCAAGAGGGTTCCCTAGCAAGGGGAACAGGGGCTGTCTCTGACATGAACGCAGTGGCTGGCTTATTGATCACCGGCCCCTACTGATGGGGGAGCAGCCTTACCAGGCCACAGAGGAAGACAATGCAGCCAGTCCTGATGAGACCTGATAGGCTGGGTCAGAGGGAAGGGGAGGAGGATCTCCCCCTATCAGTGGACTGGGTAAGGAGCATGGGAGAAGAGGGAGGGTAGATGGGATTGGGAGTAGATGAGGAAGGGGGCTACGGCTGGATTGCAAAGTGAATAATTATAATTAATAAAAAATTAAAAGAAACCTTAGGACACACACATACCATTTTGCTTTGTTTTTTATTTTGATACGTTCACACACACACACACACACACACACACACACACACACACACACCATTTTTTTGAGATATTCTCAGTATGTATAAGACCCTGGCTGGCCTCAAACTCACAGAGATCTATCTGCCTGCCTCTGTCTCCCAAATGTTAGGATTATGAATACAGGGTCTCATGTAGCCCAAACTAGCTATGTAGCTATGTAGCTGAAGGTAATTTCTGCCTCTATGTCCTAAATGCTGGATAACAGGTGTGGGGTACCAAACCTAATTTTAGTCAATGCTGAGGCTTGAACCCACAATTTATGCACACTGGGCAAACACTCTACCCACAAACATACTGAAATAATTGTATTATTGGCACGTACTGAGAGTCACCATAGGCCCTGAGAATTCCTCGATCCAGATAGTTACTGGTGTTGAACATGTCAGGCTGTCTCTTACACTGAGGGGCTTTAGATGCAACCTCTTGCTGTCTGAGTAAGGAGTCAAGAAACGGAAGGTCGACAAGTTGCAGTAAACGTCCAATTGTCTCTTCTTGCCATACTGCACTGATGACTACACAGGAAACAACAAAGTGGGAAGTAGCAATTAATAGTCATTCCACGCTCACCGAAGTGCCTGTCTAGGCAGGTCTAACTAGTAAATTTATGGTCAAAAGTGGGGTACCAGGCCACCTAACTCATGCAGTGCCTGCTTCTAACAAAACAATCCAAGACTTGTTTAAAGTGTAGGAGAACAGGCTCTGGACCACAGGAATTCTTATCATTCTTTGTACCATATAAAGCAATATGTCGGAGATAAGAGATCAAGCAGTATACCATGTTCATAAGGACTTCGGACGAAAGAATGGCTCATTCAATCTCAGGCTTTCCACTCAACTAGGACAGGGGAGGGAGAGTGGAAATCAAAATCATTAGGCTACATTCCATGGCCACAAGGAAGAACATAAGCATCCTATTAATACTTTAAATACGATTTCCAGCTTTTCAGGCAACCTAATAAAATCTTAGGAAAAGAAACATCTGAGAGCATACATTAAGTAAGAATCTGCATGCAAAACATTTCGGATTTGAACCACTGCCAGCTGATGGACAAAAGTCAGTGTTCAAGAGTTCTAACACTGGTGTGTTGTTCACAATAATAGACTTCTGTTGAGGCTTAACACAAACAGGCCTAACACACAGCACACTCTTTCTCCACTTGAGTATTAAAATTCAAATAATGGCTAGGAGGAAATACTGTCAAAAACTGTGTCTGCCGAGTCTTTCACTTCCCACTCTGCACCATTAGTTTACCTTGAGGAGACAGCCTGGTGGAGGTATGTATTCCAGGGGAGCTGGCAGGCTTTAAACTCAGATTTTCCCATAGGTCCTCCAAACTGTTTGACTTGATATCAGATGACTTAAACAATGCATCTGAGCACCTAAAATAAAGTTCGTATGTCCACAGAAATGATTTAGTATTAGAGCTGCAAGAGTGTAGGGAGCTCATTTTTCAAAACCAAAACATAACACATGAGAATTCCAAGTGGAATAAAATACTTTTCATGAGTCTTTGATTCAATCCCAAAACACCCACTCTCTCTCTACTGGTTCTCCTGGGTCAGGATCTCTTGAAGTCCCAAGCTGGTCTCAACCTCACTATGTAGATAAACCTGGCCCTAAACTCCTGATCCTCTGGCCTCCACATCCCAAACAGAGGGATTACAGACAGGCATCACTACACCCTGTTCTAAAATACAAATACTCTAAATAGAATCTCCTCAACTTTGATTTAGATGTAACTCAATGATACAACTGTATCACCAATTCTAAAACATACTAAAACTGAGCCAGGCCTGGTGGTAAAACTTCTAATTCTAGCCTCTCCATACATAGAGGCAAGAGAATTTTGGTTTAGTGTGAGCCTGGCTTCTTCCTATCTACAGCAAGTTATGGGCCAGCTTGGGCTCTACAGTGAGACCCTATCTCAAAACAAACATCAAAGAAAAACAAAACATATCCTGAAATTGTCAGTCTTTGTTTATCCCAATTGATATGAATACTCCTTTGTTTCCTATAGAAATTAATATGCTTCATTACCAAATACTGCTGAAGACCCTAACAGCATTATATAATATTTATGTACAAAATGTTCTTTCTAAAGTCACCATAGTTGCAAACTTTTGGTTTCAAGAATTTCAAGCAAAGCACGAAGATACATTTGAAGAGTGTGGACCATGAGCTAGGCGTAGTGGTGCATGCCTGTAATCCCAGCACTCGGGGAGACAGAGGCAGGCAGATTTCTGTGAGTTTGAGGCCGGCATGGTCTACAAAGCAAGTCCAGAACAGCCAAGGCTACACAGAGAAACCCTGTCTCAAAAACCCAAACCAAACCATAAGAGTGTGACCCACATTCTACTTTAACCTCTTATTTTGATCACTGGTCCCCACATTGTGTCTTTAGGGACTCCCTCTTTTATCTACCACTTTTATTGCAGCCTTCCATAGCCGGTAACATTGCTTACCTAGTTCTCACTGACTACCAGGTACCATTTTCAGTCCAAAATCACCTTTCTAAATAAAACACAATCCCACCCTGCTCATCTTTTGTGGCCCTTTCAACACCTATATGACCAAGTCCCAAGTTTCTTACCATTCCAGATCAGTGTCCCTCACCTGTGGTCCCAGCTACTCAGGAGGCTGGGGTAGGAGGATGGTTTGAGCTTAGGAATTCAGGAGTGTCTGAACCCCATATAGGGAAAACTTGTCTCAAAAATTAAAAACAAAAAAAACCCACAAGCCAACATCACCCAAATCCTTTAACATGTCACATGAAGCTGTAGTTCTCATTCACCTTTCACATTTCGAATCCACCACTTTCTAGAGTCTAATGATGTTCTAGGAGGTGGGTGTTTCTCTGCCAGCCAACAAAACAAAGCTTATTGGCTTTTTGCAAAATACCAGTATGAACAAGTAAAGTCTAGGATATGCTCAGAACATTACCAACATTTTGGTGTACTTTTTAAAATTTACCACGATTAGATTTTAGTCAAAATTATCACTTACGATCTTTTTTAAAAAATAGAAAAAATTCTGCTAATATGCCCATCGGGATAACGTTAGGCCAGGACTCACCTGGAAGGAGAATACACTTTGTTCTCATTGCCTAATTGACTGTCCTGATTAGGTACTGTGGTGAATCTATAAAGGCTGCAACTGCTGTCTTCAAAGGTAGGCTTTCTGTCTCTCCCGAAGACTCTGGTTGGAACTGCTTCAAATACTTTGTAGTCCATAAGAGCTTGACACACTCTCACCACTTTGGCCCGAGGAATATCGACGTCACCAAAGAATTTATTCTGAATTAAGTGAGAGCAAATTACGTCCACGGCCTCCGAGCCGACGAAGCAGTTATTGTGCCGCTTTAAGTGGTACCTCCGTTTCTTCACCTCCACTTGGGTTTGAAGGGTGTTTATGATGCTGCTCCACACATACGTGGCTCCAAATGGCCTTTGGGCCACACTGAAGCCTAAAAGGGGAGAAATCGGAGACACTGTGCATTAGCAATTTGTTTTAATATGGTTTAAGCAGTTCCTGGGGAGAAGGAAGCAGTTTCCAAAAGCCATAATAAAAGGAAATTAGAAAGGCACAATCTTGAAATATTGTTATTGGTGGCAATTTATTTAAAAATTTAGTGTCCGCAACATACTAAATGTTGTACTATGTGGTAGACACATAGTGAACATAGTAAAGTCTGTTCTGCTCATTTAAAAACACGATCAGCAAGCCAGACAATATGTATGTGTTCAACCAGGGCTGGAAAGAAAACAGCTGCTGGGCATGGTGGCTCACCTGTGACATTGGCACTCAGGAGGCTGAGGCAGAAGGATCAACCCTGAGACCCTGTCAAAAGACAAACATGCACACACTTGGCGGGGGTGGGGGGGAGGCAGCAACAGCTGAATAAGAGAATGCCATTTCACTATCTTTAGTGTGCATGCACTCAAAGCTTCTATGGGCTTGTATGTGGGCACACATATGCCAGCCACAGCACTCACACCAAGGTCAAAGGACAACTTGCAGGAACATGTTTTCTCCTTCTGCCAAGGGTCCTGGAGATCTAACTCAGGCCATCAGGCTTGACAGCAGTGTGTCTACAAGCTGAGTCACCTTGATGACCTGAGAATAGTACTACATTTTTGCCTTAATGTGTATGAGTATTTTGCCTGTGTGTGTGTGTGTGTGTGTGTGTGTGTGTGTGTGTGTGTTTGTAGTGCACCATGGACTGCCTAGTCCCTAAGGAAGAGCCTAGAAGAGAGTGTTGATCTCTGGAACTGGAGTTACAGGTGACTGTGAGCTGCATGTGGGTACTGCGAATTGAACCTGGGTCCTTTGGAAGGGCAGCCAGTGCTCTTACACACTGAGCCATCTCCAATCCTTGAGAATGCTGCTTGTTTGGTTGTTTGGCAGTGTTTTTGAGACAGGGTCTATGTACTACTGGCTGTCCTCAAACTCAAAGGTCCTTCTGCCCTGCCTCGGATGCTGTGATTTAAGGTGTGCACCACCACAGCCAGCTGAGAATGCTATTTTAAGTGGGCTGTCAGGAAAGGCTGGAAACTTAGCTCAGTGGTAAAATGTTTGCCTAGTGAGTGAAAGACCCTGGATTCAGCCCCACGCTCTGGAGACACAAAATCACAAAGACCAAATAAATAAACAAACAAACGCAGAAACCAGAAAATCACTTTTCCAATAATTGTATCTAAATAGGGATTTGAGTAAAACCAGGAAGCAAGCTGTACAGACACCAAAACAGAGAACAGAAAATCCAAAGGCCCAAGGGCATGCACTCTCCTAGAATAGGCCAGTAAGTCCAGAGTGGCATGTACAGGGAGCTGTATCAGGAAGTGAAATCAGGAGGGGAAGATCATCTACCAGCAGCCACATGCAAGACTGTCCAATTATCCAGTCTTCAGCAGTAACCTCTGAGGCAGATAGCATCTTGAAATTGAGATACAAAATGTATTCACAGGTTATATGCCACTTCCAAGCATACTGAAATTGTTTTGGAATTGACTCAATTGTCATTCAAACACACACACACACTTGGGCTACAAGAACAAACTAATGTTTCTAAAGCTTCCTGTTTTGCAGGCTTCTAACTTAAATACCTAGCAAGCAGGGCAAAGTAACAACAAGTTTATTAACTATTTCAAAAGATAAAGGTGAACAAGATTTTTGCCCAACACGGGAAATAAGCTTTGGAAACTTTCCTACCAGGCTGGTGAGATGGCTCAGTGAGTAAAAACAATTGCTGCCAAACCTGATCGCCTGGATTCAATCCCCAGAACCAATATGGGGGGACGAGAAAACTGACTCCCAAAAGCTGTCCTCTGACCTCCATGTATATGCTTTATAGGCACGCACACACACATTTAAAAAACAAACGAACAATTTTTTTTAATGTAAGAGAAAAAAATTTCCAAGCCAGCAAGATGACTCAGCAGGTGAAGGTTCTTCCCCTAAGCCTGACAACTGTGCTCAGCCCCAGAACCCACATTGGAGAACAGAATTGATCCCCACAAGTTGTCCTCTGACCTACAAACAAAGTAAACTAAAAATGAGAAAATTTCCCATATTTTGTCCTTAAATAAAACTGATTATTTGGCAAAAAATGCACAGAAGAAAAGAAAAAGGAAAGACAATGATCCTTGGGTTTTACTGGGCTAAAGGCACTGAACCCAGCTACTTAGTCAATCATACACTAGGTAGCTCTGCTGCTCTTCCCTCCCCTCCACCCTTTACACACTCATATGCTCTTATGAGCTACAGTTCTCAAGATCCTCTCAAAATTCAGCAGTCCTAATTAAGGCTCTGCTTCTGTTAACAAAAAACAAAACTCCACCTGCTCCATTTATGTGCAGGGTCTCTTGGCAGAGAAGCGGGGAAGTTACCACTTACTTTCAGAGTCTGAAAGTAAGGAATCCAGAGCCGGAGCACTAAAGGAACCACTGCCTGAAAGGAAGGAAATTTAAAAGTGTATGTATGTGTGTGCGCACAGGCATGTGTGCAAAGCCACATTCCAAGTCCAGGCACAGGACGCCCAACACTGCTCTGTGCGTGCTGGGGCCCAAAGCCCAGTCATCCTGATTGTGCAGCAAGCACTCCTGTTGCTAAAGCCATCTTTCCAGCCCTTCTTCCTACATTTTTAGCAGAGAATACATCTGATGAAAACAGAAGACAACTCCTGAAGAACATTAAACCTCAGCTAAAGTTTTTTTTAACTTTTTTTGTGTGGGCACGTGCATGCCAAAGCATGTGTATGTGTATGGGGGGTGAAGGATAACTGGCAAAACTCACTTGGTTCTCTTTCCAACATGTAGTTTCTGAGCTGGAACTCAGGCCACTAAGCTTGGTGGCAATCACTCTTACTGCTGAGCCATCTCATCTACCTTAAATCTCTTTACTGCAATGGAGACATAATTATTTTTCTGCTTTTCCCTTTGCACTGGGGACTGAATTGAGTACTGCAGCACATACCCAGCATGTGTTTTGCCATCAGGCTATACCCTGGAGCCATGAATTTTAAGCTCATCATTTGGGATCTACCTTATGTGCTGAAGTGCAAGGAGCATAATGAGTCATTACACTACATTACTTAAGAGCATAATTTTGTAACTGTGAGCAAGTGTAACTTTTTTCCTATGAAAATTAATAGCACATATACAAAGCCCTCTGCTATTTCTTTGTGGGTTTTCAAAACCAAAAGATGAATAATTTATTACCTACTTATTATTATCTTAGTTCAAGATGATAAGTAAGATTGTTTTCAATTTTAAAGTTTAAAAATGAAGACAGTGGGCTGAAGAGATAGCTGAGAGGTTTAGAGCACTGGCTGAGTTCAATTCCTAGCAACTACATGGAGGCTCACAACCATCTATAGTGAGATTTGGTGCCTTCTTCTGGTGTGCAGGTGGACATGCAGGCAGAATACTGTTTACATAATAAATAAATATTTTAAAAAATGATATCTTGGCATGGTGGTGCATACCTTTAACCCCAGCACTCTGGAAGCAGAGACAGGGGTATCTATGTGAGTTGGAGGCCAGCTTGTCTACACAGTTGAGTTCCAGAACAGTCAGGGCTAAATAATGAGATCCTGTCTCAAAAAAAAAAAAAAAAATTAAAAAAAGTTAAAAAAGAAAGAAAGGAAGAAATCAAACAAAAGTTAAGGATGATTTTAGTGTAGGGGAGAACTGCTGCCAGCCTTACTGATATTAGGTAAGCAGTTTCAAGAGTCAAAGAATAGAGACTATTATGAGAAACTGTAAGCTATAACTAGACGGACAGCAGTCCAGTGTTTCCTGCTCAGTAAAGCTGCAGTCAGTGTTTGGGGGACTCTTAGAACTGGTATCCAGAACTCAGGAGTAGCTGCACTAACCCAGCCACAGATACCTGCTTCTGCCCCCTCCCTCCTTTTCTGGGGGTTGGGCAGGATCTCCCTATGCATCCCAGGCTAGTCTCAAACTCAGAGATCCTCTTGCCTCTGACTCCGGAGTGCCCAACAGTCCAAGTTCTTAATTTACCTAACATACCAGAGATCATAATGAGGTTTGACTTAATGCCGGCTCTCTAATCTTTCAAATGTTTTTGGTTTTTTGTTTGTTTTTGAGACTTGAGACGTTTTTTTTTGTTTGTTTGTTTTGTTTTTGTTTTTTGAGACAGGGTTTCACTGTATAACCCTGGCTGTCCTGGAACTCATGTTGTAGCCCAGGCTGGCCTGGCTCTCTCCATCTAGTAGTTTGGCCTTGAACTGATGATCCTCCTGCCTCAACCTCTCAGGTTCTGAGACTGCAGGTGGATTTCAAATCTTCATTGTATCATTGTCAGTAATACCAACACATAGTATGACAAACTGTCTTCTCTAACTTAACCAGATATATGTCTCTTTGAAATAGTTACTAATCATCCTATTTTCAGAAAACTGAGGTTGAGTGTGTTAAACTTGCCTGGGTTACACAGATAGTAATTAAATATTAGCTTTTCCTAATTCTTAACATATTTTCATTTTAAGTTAGTTATTAGGTGCTGGGAATACAGCGCAGTCGGCAGTGCTTGTGTAGCATGCACAAAACTCTGGGTTTGATAGCTGGCACTTTGATGATGCAGACCTATGTCCAAAGCTGCTTAAGTTCTAAAGCAGTGGTCCTCAGCCTTTCTAATGCTGCCACCTTTACTACAGCTCCTCATGCTGTGTGACGCCCATCATTTTCACTGGTGCTTCAGAACTTTGCTACTGTTATAGATCATAATGTAGGTATACACAGAGGTTTGCCAAAGGGGCTGCAACCCACAAGTTGAGAACTGCTGTTCTAAAGAGAAGCTCCTTAAGACTGAGGAGACAAACAACTCAAAAGCCTCAGGAAGTCTCTGAAACCGGGCAGAGGCACTTCTCAAGGTTATATAAGCACTGAAGACTTGTGAGGATGCAGAGACCATCTGAGTTGGGTGTGCAGTGAGCTCCTGATTTCC